CGAGGGGTCAACCACTAGCAAACATTTTGTACATGTATTGACAAAACCGTGTATTCCGGAGAATTGACATGTATTCCCAAGTATTGACCGGATTTTCAGATATTGACAAGTATTCTCGAATATTGCCAAGTATTGTCAGATATTGATAAGTACTCCCAGGTATTGGCATGTATTCCCAGATGTGATATGACTGTAATTATAGATGCAATTTAAATTATTCAAAATTCATTTTAATCAGATACATTTTGTAGTCGTTTGTAATATTAAAATAAAACAAAAAGATAAAAAAACATTAGAATTGCTGATTCACAAATGCGTTTATTCAAAAAACACGATACAATATGTTTTTTAAATGATACTAAACAAAATAACAATTCATAAAAAAAATTTAATACCAAATAAATCATTTCCCTTGCATTTTCTTTTTCAGCTCTTTATATTCTTTTTTTATTAAGATCAAATCGTGCCGTTTTATGGAAAATGGCCCGATGCCTTCCAAAGCAATAGGTCCATAAAAAATGTATTCACTATTAACAATTTTTATGTCATCTGCACTAGGCCACATGAATTTGTCTAATTCTTCTTTCAAAAATTTGATGGTACAACTGGTCTCTTTCTTTTGTATTATGCGACCTATATACCAAGTCTCATCATAATAAACACTATAATATTTTTCCATTTCCAGGTTAATGGTACAGATATCTGATTGGCTATCGCAGTTCTCATCTTCAGTTTTATTAGATATAGAAAGCACTTTAGTACTGTCGAAGGTACTATCTAATTCTATATTACTCTCGGACGTTTCTGTGGACGTTTCTATTTCGGATTCTGTTTCTGTTGCTGCCTCTTGTTGTAGTGATGGCTTTTGGCGATGTTGTATTCCTCGCTTCTCTCTATGAAAATTCACGTTATTTGATGACATACCTCGTACACGAATTCTTGTATCACTGGACAGATGTTTTTTCTCCGAAAATAACCAAGATTTTCCAACCGTCATCTGTTTTTCTTCATTAATAATGATATTTAAAAACGCTTTATTAACTGATTTCTTATCCTGATTGGCAGTCTTGTACTCTTTTAAGTTTAAATCTTTAAAATTTTTTTAAATAGTGATGTAATTTTCCATTAAACGTTCATATTCGTCCTCCGATTCAATTGCATTGTGTTCCATTTCTGTTGATGTGCGTAGTAACTCCGTTCCATTGCAATTTATTCTACTAACAGATAATTGTTTTTCTGCAATGGTGTTCAAATCAATGTTATTAAAACAAGTGCTTTCAATCCCAGTCATGCCTAGTTGTAATATGCATGTGTTTGTGGCATCTTTCTCGGCTTTCTTTAAAATTTGTTGTATTTCGGCTATGTTCGGTACATCACTAGAAATGACATTTTCTTTTAAATTTCCTAATCGTCTGCTTTCTTCAAGTGGAAATTTAAACTCGTGCTCTGGAAGGATAGAAGATTATTAAACATAAAATCGAAACACTACTACTTACTCGTCCCTCCACGCCTTCATCCATTATAATTTTTATACATAAAACACTTCACTTTTACACTTCCACGAGGTGTGATTCAGCATGTCAGTCTTTTGACTAGGCGCTTCCAACTTCGTACGCTCTCGGTAAAGCGCGGGGTGTGTTGCGCATAAAAATAGATTGAAAAAAAATCACAATAGTGACATTTTCTGGTAGTTATTTACATGCATTGCCAAGTATTTAAATGTATTGTCAAGTATTGACATGTGTTCACGTGTATTGTCGGGTATTGATTGGTATTCTCAAGTATTGGCAGGTATTCTAACGTATTGGCAAGTATTGACATAACTATGTACACGTATTGACAGCAGTGGGTGACCCCGCGTTTTTGGTACTTTTTCTTGGAATTTGTGAATTAGTTTTCAACAAAATGCGGTGTTCTGTAGTTAGATGTACATACCAAAACTAATGGATTAAAGTAGTTTACAAGTGATTTAATTCCAAAATGGCGAAAATATTCAAAAGTGCTGGGCACATTTTTGTTAGGACACCTTGTACATGTGGGTTATTTGATGAGATTAAATGAGCAAACTATATACCCCATTATTATTACTCATTATTTGGAAAAACGCTGCATCATAGCGTAAAGCATCTTTAAATGTGATTATTAGGTAATGATTTCTTCATATTTTTCGGCATACCATTTTTATAGCTTTGATCAATTCAACTCTTTTTCATTCAAATTTTAAACTCCGCATGACGTCATGCGCCAACTGGTCGAATTTGGAACGGTAATCTAGCATATCATATTTTCTTTACTTCATGTAGGGACCAGGGGGATCTGGGATTATGTTTAAGGGGGAGGGGGGGTCATTTTTGAAAGACGGAAGGGGGGAATACCCCTTAGTGAAGAGGGGTCTAGGGGTTCTCCCCACAAAAAAAAATATATACTTAAACATTTATTTACATAAGGCACTGGTTTTACATTAATGTCAAATATCACACATAAAAAGGCAATACTAGGCAATTAAAATTACACCGACATCAGACATCTGTAAAAATGCCTGAAAAATATCAAAAAATAAATATGTATCTAAAACTAGTAACAACTAATAGTTTTTGGCTACACATAATATTAAATTACAACAAAATATCATATATATGAAAATATAAATATAAAATAGCCACCAATTATACAACGCAAAAGTTAGAGATCTGTATACGATAACATGTTAAAAGCGTCATTTTAAAATATTGTAACATAACAATTTATTGAGATAAATTAAATAGTTTTAAGGCATTAAAGGCAGTAGCTAAAGCAACATCTTCCGGTTTCTTGTTCATAAAAGCTGCAATCATCTCAACAATGGCAGGAAGAGAGCAAGGTTCGTTTCGTTGAAAAGTGCAGTAGCGATGCAAAAATGTCATTGACCTGTAACAAAAAAATCAATTCACAATGAACTAATGTTCTCGGTATGCTACTTATTTAAGATAGAAAGTACCATAGCAAACCAAAGTATGTAAAAGTTGCCAAAAAAAAGATTTGTGAATGTACTGTACCTTTCAGTTAGTGCATCTTTAACATGAGGAGGCAATTTAGAGGCACGTGTGTTTGGATACATAAACGGAGCATCTGTTTCAACCAATAAACGGTCTAAAGGTATTGTACCATCCACAAGTAATTTACGCACACCTGTATCAGATTTATCTTTACATAAGTAGCCTACAATGTTTCATATAGTTTGAGAAGTAACAACAGCCAACCAACCGGTTAGTCCTATGTAAAACCCTTGATCGAGGTACGCAAGAGCTTGTTCTGTTGTACCAGTGAAACAGTGTATTACAACAGAAGGCAGTCGAGATGAATATTGCCGTAAAATTGCTAACAAATCTTCGTGAGCTTCTCGTTCATGTATAAATAATGGCTTAGAAAGTTCACATGCTAATTGAATCTGAAACAAACATAAATTTACATAATGTTATTGTATGTCTAACAGGTTAATAACCTGCTTGTGGAAGACTGTTCTTTGCTCCTCGGGCTCGGAAAAATTTCGATTATAATCAAGTCCACACTCTCCTATAGCGACACATTCCGGATTTCCAGCTAAACTTTTTAACTCTTCCCACGATTCGTCTGTGTATGATTTTGCATCGTGAGGATGAATACCTATAAGAAACAGGTTGAAATCAAAATAGCCTCGTTGGCTATTACCTGCTGTTGAGTATAGTGTTCCGGGGTATATTCGTGTTAGTCTCAATGCTTCTTTACTGGTTCTAACTGAAGTACCGGTCACCATAATTTTTTGCACGCCTTGAAGCCATGTCAATACACCAAGCATCATAAAAATTACAATTATACATACCGGAATCCTTCGCTCGTTGTATTACAGAGTCTAAATCTCTACTATATTTCTTATTTGTTAAATTCGCACCTATATCTATCACTATTAAGTTTTCGTAGCATTGCTCTATCGTTTTTTCGTTTTCAGTCGCTTCGGCACCATTTGAGGCCATTTTTTCGATAAATACACCTTACGTAACACTCCCAATTTTGCTACTAAATTAAATTAAAAGTTAAATTAATTAAATTGCAAATATAGCTCCATTACTCATATGTTGTGCGATGCGACACAAACAGCTGATTCGTCGAAAAATTCTTTAGTGTTTTCAGGTTTGCAATATTAAAACAATAAATTTACCAGAAAATATTGCATTCAGTAAAGATGTGTTTACAGGGCGACAGTAACTAAGGGCGGATTGAGACTTGTGAAGATCGTAAACTTTACTTTGGGAATTTTTGCGTCAAGCTGACATTGTAAAACTTACCTATCTCTTGCTTTCAAAATTACACACTAGACCGTGTATGAAGAATAACCTACACTGTATCTCTCACCGTTACCGAGATACCATGGTGAATTTGAAGTTTGAACCATCCTGTACAATATTTAGGTAATTTAGGTAGCTATTTGTTTAAACAACAAAAAACAAGTATGTACTTATGCTGCAATTGCATCATTTTTGGCCTATACTGTATGTGGATGACCCCTCCATGAATCCAAAAGGCAGATCAATACATACTATGATGGCCAATACACCGTAGACGAGTCCAGGGTTATGGAAGTAGTTTATATGAGTAATTGTAGTAGGGCTACTGAAAAAGTAATTCGAACACATCTTTTCTTGTACGCGTATAGGTACATATGTAGGTACTATGTAAGGGCCGATATTTTGGAATGCAATCTACCTATAATAAATAGAGTCAATGCAATGTTATCTTCTCTGAAATCTGAATTACTAATTACTTCTTACAGGTTGACAATTTTACAATTGAACTAAACAACTTTTGCAGAAAATGTGGACGTTGAACTAAGATCAACAACTATAGTTCCATTCAAAGTAATTGTTTTGTACGTATGGGTATGATCAACCACCTAAACCTAAAATAACCTTTCAACTGGTATTAAAAAGCGAATCTTCTGTATGATGATTTTTAATAGGAATTGCAGTGAAAATCACGACCAAAAGCGCTTTTATCAAGGCTTTTATCTATGTTATGAGTCATGTACAATGTTGTTTCAATTAAACTTTAAAGCGCTGAGTGAAGGAACGATTAAAGTACCTACAGGTATAAAACCAATGGTAAAACGTAAAAATGGTGTTTATCCAACTGCGGTGTAGATCTTTGCACATGAGAATTAAGGTCATAATCCCAGAAAGAATTTAACAACAAACGATGTAACATTATCAGGAAAATTTTGCAATGTAATGTAAACATTCATTATATGGTAATGATAAGCAAAGGTATGAGAGAAAATAGGATATTTTTAAAAACTACGTCAATACAGGAGCTTATCATGATTCGACAAACGTAATTGAGGATTCGAACTCCAAATTCCTGTAATCCTATTTTTAAAACTTCGTGAACTCGTTAGAGTCGAGTTCAATTGTATAGTCATGCCAGACTGAAATTTGGGAAATCGGAATGATCAATACGTTTCTGACGCAAATGTTATAAGGGTTGCACAATGTTACAATTACAATTATAGGATCATTTGGCGAATCTAAGCAATTAAGTACCTACAAACAACAAATTAATGAGGACGTAAACATAATATTAAAGTAAACAAAGACGTCTTCTAATGAAAATCAAACAATAACATTGTGACGTGTAGTTACGAAAAACGGTCGTTTTGAATCAATCGTTTTTCCCGGGCGATTGTACAAATTGCCGTTTTGCAAGCTGATTTTACATCAAAATTTGGATTCTCCACATATTTTTTAAATTACTATTGTTCCTGCTAATTATCGTATGAGCAAATCCTTTAGAAACCGTTTATTTTGCGATATCGACCGAAAAAATTCTAGAATATTCGACGGGGTTCGAGGCTATTTGCTCGAAATTGTAGTGGGGGATAGCATATGTATAAATACAACGCCCGCTGCAAAAGTCGCCATTATAGTAATTGTCTTTGTACAACACGAAAAATCTGCTAAAACGTTGAAAAGTGAATTATTTGTGATTGTGAAATTGATATAAATTAAGGTAAAGGTTTTGCTATCCTATTTACTTTCTAGTTCTAAAGTATGCAATGTAATTTTTTTAATTTCGTTGTCAATTCCCGATTGTAGACGTTGTCACTTGTAATTCTGAAATTTCTTTTACTAAATTCCCTGTCCAGTTAACGACATTAGTAAGTTAACAACCAAATTATTGCAATTAAAATGGGGTATTTTAACGTCGTTGCAGCTTTGACTATTGCGTGATACGAAAATTAGTTAACAAAATGGCGGCCATCAGTAATTGTGCTGAATCATAAAAATGTTTGCTTTCTAAACTAATTTGGTTTGTAATTTTCAGAAAGAATGCAAATCTTCGTTAAGACCCTTACTGGTAAGACCATCACCTTAGAGGTCGAGCCATCTGACACCATCGAGAATGTGAAGGCGAAAATCCAGGACAAAGAAGGCATCCCACCCGATCAACAGCGTCTAATCTTTGCTGGAAAACAATTGGAGGACGGACGAACACTTTCCGACTATAACATCCAGAAGGAATCTACCTTGCATTTGGTGCTTCGTCTTCGAGGAGGCATGCAGATCTTCGTGAAGACTTTGACCGGCAAAACGATTACTTTGGAAGTGGAACCTTCCGATACGATTGAGAATGTTAAGGCCAAGATTCAAGACAAAGAAGGTATCCCACCAGACCAACAGCGTTTGATTTTTGCTGGAAAGCAATTGGAAGATGGCCGCACCCTTTCCGACTACAATATTCAGAAGGAATCCACTTTGCATTTGGTACTCCGTCTTCGTGGTGGCATGCAAATTTTTGTGAAGACTCTCACCGGTAAAACAATTACACTCGAAGTGGAGCCATCCGACACAATCGAGAATGTTAAGGCGAAAATCCAAGACAAAGAAGGCATTCCTCCCGATCAACAACGTTTAATTTTTGCCGGAAAGCAATTGGAAGATGGTCGCACCCTTTCGGACTACAACATTCAGAAAGAGTCCACTTTGCATTTGGTACTCCGCTTGCGTGGAGGTATGCAAATTTTTGTTAAAACGTTGACCGGAAAAACTATAACACTCGAGGTTGAGCCTTCAGATACCATCGAAAATGTGAAGGCGAAAATTCAGGACAAAGAAGGCATCCCACCAGATCAGCAACGTTTAATTTTTGCCGGAAAGCAGTTGGAAGATGGTCGCACTCTCTCAGATTACAATATCCAGAAGGAGTCGACTTTACATTTAGTACTCAGACTTCGTGGTGGTATGCAGATCTTCGTGAAAACCCTTACCGGTAAAACGATCACGTTGGAAGTGGAACCATCTGACACCATTGAAAACGTCAAAGCTAAAATTCAGGATAAAGAAGGCATTCCTCCCGATCAACAGCGTTTAATTTTTGCGGGAAAGCAGTTGGAAGATGGCCGCACTCTTTCCGATTACAACATCCAGAAAGAATCGACTTTGCATTTAGTACTTCGACTACGTGGAGGCATGCAGATTTTTGTTAAAACTTTGACCGGAAAAACCATCACGCTAGAAGTGGAGCCGTCGGACACCATTGAAAATGTAAAGGCGAAAATCCAAGACAAAGAAGGCATCCCACCAGATCAGCAACGTTTAATTTTTGCTGGTAAGCAACTCGAAGATGGTCGCACATTATCAGATTACAACATTCAAAAGGAATCGACCCTTCACTTGGTTCTGAGATTGCGTGGTGGCATGCAAATCTTCGTGAAGACTTTAACTGGCAAAACGATCACTTTGGAAGTTGAACCCTCTGATACTATCGAGAATGTAAAGGCAAAAATCCAGGACAAAGAGGGTATTCCCCCAGACCAACAGCGTTTGATCTTTGCTGGTAAACAGTTGGAGGATGGGCGTACACTTTCCGATTACAACATCCAAAAGGAATCCACTCTTCATTTGGTGTTGAGATTGCGTGGTGGCATGCAGATTTTTGTCAAGACTCTCACAGGCAAAACGATCACTTTGGAAGTAGAGCCTTCAGATACGATTGAAAACGTGAAGGCAAAAATTCAGGACAAAGAAGGAATTCCACCAGATCAACAGCGTTTAATCTTTGCTGGAAAACAGCTTGAAGATGGACGTACATTATCGGACTATAACATTCAGAAAGAGTCGACTCTCCATTTAGTACTGAGATTACGTGGTGGCTTTTAACATTTTTGCAGTTTTTCAATATTTTTGTATCTTTATTTAAAATTAAAAGGATATGGCTTTGTATGAAATCATAGCAAAATATTAAATTAATTGCAACTTTCACTTTTTATTTTTTCTATATTAATACTTCTACATTTTCAGGTTTGTGTTTACAATAATAAATTAATACCTTGCATACAATTGCGGACCGGTGGGTTTTTGAAACTGCTGTGGAATGCACATATTTTGCTCCTTGTAACTAGCGCTGGTTCTGGAAGGACCACTGAAATTTAATTAAAAAAATTTTGTCATCTTTTTTTGTGCTGTATTATAGGTTGCAGTTATGATGAGTTGGAATGATAAAGCTGGTGGGCTCTTGTCCTTTATTGCAGTTTGTGTTAAAACGCTACTGGTCTTTAGAACAGAAATTTAAACCGAGGGTAATGTGCGAGGTTGTTGCATTTACATTTAAAGCTATGTTGACAAATCCCAATAAATAGGGGGCGGGTGCAGGCGTTATGTCTTCGCCCTTTCGTTAATATGTGACAAAAAACCATACATACCTAGTTTACAAATCACCTCGTCCTTATGGATAGCAGGTCGTCATATTGGTGGAGTTTGGAATTGGCGTTGAATGAATTTTAGTGGCCGATGTAAAGTGCGGAAGCTGCGTTGGGGAGTAGGTAGAACTGTACAGACCCAATGCCGTCTGTCTGTGAAAAGATTCTTGATCGCGGAATTCTGCCTCGTGTGTCCCTATCTGCAAAGAAAAAGGCACTAATTAATTGTTTCTTTTTAACTAACGTACATGCGGGCGCGGTTGTCAAGGAGTTCCTGGAATTCCTGGGGTAGGTGAGTATATGGGAGGGAATTTGAATTTCTCTTTGGGAAGGCGATCTCTTTGTGAGGGTTTCATTACACAAGGATCTTTCATGGGTGAAGTATCGCCCCGAAGGAAGCTTACTGTAATCCTGCCTTTGTTCATTGTCAATAATAAGTTTTAGATGTTACAGATATAGGATGGGTTTTAGAGTTGGAAATGGAGACGAAATATGAGTTGGATATAGGGGTCTGGTGTTGGTTTTGTGAGTTGTGTAGGTGGAGGTGTGTGGGGGGGGGGGGGTTGTCTTTAAGCCTTAGATCACTAATGGCCGTATCCACCGACAAATTATTTAACCGGAGGGCGAGGCTTAGCTTATAATCCATGGCAACGATTATTGCGACAATAAGTATATGGTTGTCATGGATTTTAAGCTATGCTTAACCTAAGTTCCGCTTAAATTTTTCGGTGTATACGGCCATAAGGTGCTAGCCACAGCAAATTTTTTTAAAAGTATAGCCCATATACAGGGTGGGCCATTTAGAGTGTAGGGGTGGAAGATTTGTGGGTTTATTAATACCATATAATATATATCACGTTATTGAAATAAATGTTATTCCAGATTGTTAAAAGTTACTGTATTATTTTGGCGATTTCTACGGTTTTGAAAAATGGAAAATTATAACTAAAAGTATGAACATATGCAGTATTTTTTCCTTTACAAAAAACGTATTTACACTTTTGCTCTAAAATAATTAGGGGAGCTAGTAATTGACTATAAAGAAATTACCATTGAAATCCCTATGCTGCGTCGCGCTAGGCACCACCCGGTATATATTGATTGCATGATCTAAGGATGGTTCCTTTTAATGGCATAATAAAGAATCATATTATGCCATACATCGCTGTAAAAAATCCTACTTAGGTATACAGTAGGTATATGTACTTTTTTTTCCCGGTCCATATAAAAATGTGAATAAAGTTGATGATCCGTGGACACACTGCATTTATGGTTCCTCATTGCTCTAAACCTTGTCTAGAAATGATCAGAAAAGTCACAAAAATAATGAGGGAATTAGTAGGTGACTATATCCTGCAAGGCACAATGGGCATCTGGTGTGCCTAAGCGCTGCCCGGTCGGGCTCCCCTGAGAATAGAATATGCCCTGCATCTGATCAGGCCTTAACCCCTATAGTCAATGATAATAATAATAAAAAAACCTAATATACTCTCATTTCCATACAAAATTACTGTGTATACAAAGTTTAATTTCGAACCTAATAGTGGGTATAATCTAATTTATGTTTTTGCATATGCATCTGCAATAGTGTCTTTATGATATTTCATCGCTCGAGATCGTTTGAAAGTATGAACCGGCTTCCTCGGTTTAATCCTCTTCAAGCTGCCAACATACTTTTTGAAAACATCGACAGCCACCAGATGCTTTGGAATATGAACGTATCGAATTAATCGTCCCCGAACAAAAAATTGCTCGAACTTGTGCCCGACCCCTCTGGAGTTGTAAAATATAACATCTTCAAGATCGATATTCATGTAACCGTCCACATACTTTATTTTACCCGAAACACACTCCTCGTTCTGTAGATCGATGATTGTGTACTCATTTTCAAGCCCCTTAATCAGTCCAGTTAAAGAGTTGTAGAATTGAAAATGTTCCTTTTTAGTTTCTTTTTGCATTTTTTTTGTAGTGTTTTTGTAATTTAATATTTCACCATCTATCTTTATCACTGTGAAGGTTATCTGCAATGGCTGCAATTGTGTTAAAAACAAGAATATCCTGTTTGTAATCTTCTTAAGTAAGCCGTTATCACAGGATAAAAGAAAACAAACTTCGATGTGAGATTATGGTAAGTGTTTTGAATTAATTTATAAGTAGTTTTGTCTTTGTTGATGAATAAAACATAACCTTACTTTTGTGTATAACTGCGAAAATTTGTTTTTTTTTTGTAATTTTGCGATATGTGGAAATATTTAACAGGAACTATCCTCACTGGTTCGCTTTTATATGTTCTTAAGTAGGTTTGGATTGATAGTCGGCTTTTCACTATTCCGGTTTTAGAAAATATTTTGCAGGCGGTGTTTGCAAGTGTATTGAGCGGCTCGATCGACAAGTGGTTATTGTAACAGGGGCCTCTTCTGGCATTGGAGAAGCGTTAGCATTTTTGCTCGCCGAACGAGGTAAGATTGTAACGAGGGGGAAACCACTTCCTTAAAATTTGTACACCAGATTGAAAATGGAAATAATGAGAGGATTGAAGTGTGTAATGAAAGATTGAAATAATAATGAAAGAATGAAATCGTAAGAATTGAAAATGAACTATTCGTTTTTGTAAATAATGAAACCGTTAATGAAAAATATTTATAACCGTAATAAGAAAAATGAGGAAATGAAAAATAAATGAAGAGAATTAATAGAATGAAAAAGAATTAATCTTAGAATTAATAGAATGAAAAGAGAATGAACAGATTGAAAGTAATGAAACTGATAATGATAATATTGAAAGATTGAAAATGGAATGAAACTGGAATGAAAAATTCATGTACACCAAATTGAAAGAGTGGTTTCCCCCTCGGATTGTAACCTTTGGTCTGACTTGAGGTCTACTTTTACATTTTGTTTTAGGTGCCACAATTATCTTAGCTTGCCGTGATTTGACCAAGGCAAATGAAGTTCGTGCAGAAATACTTAAGGAGTTCTCGGTTCCTGTTTTTGTCAAAGAGCTCGACTTAAATTCCTTTCACAGCATTTCAAAATTTGCCAATAACATTAATACTGAATTTAATTCTGTTTATGCGTTAGTCAACAATGCTGGTGTATTTTACGCTCCCCAGCAACTAACTGAAGATCTTTTTGATGTTACGTTTCAAACGAATTATTTAGGTGAGTAAAAATTCTGTTTCTATTTGCACATGGATAGGCAGGCTCATATTTTTATAGACTGGAAGTTTATGGGTCTTAGTACTGTTTGTACCTACTTTTTTTTTACTTTTATTATCGAAATAATTAAGTTGCACATAGCAGCAGCACGTACTTAAGGTAACCTTTCTATTGCATATAAAAGATACAGGGTATTTTTCTTAAATGTATACATACGTACACTTTTAAAAAATTTGCTGTGCCTCACGTTGGGCGCTAAATAATGCTGTGTGCAATGGATTGCTGTCAACTACAACACCCACAAAACTGACATGAACTTTATCCGGGTCGTACAATGGGTTCGAATCAACACACCTCGAAACACACGATTGATTGATAATGACAAAAATTTATTCCAAAACACATTAAATGAAATTAAAACAAAATTTCTGAAAGAAAGAAAACAAACAAAACTTGTTTGGACATAGTGTCTCCTCGAGTGTCTCACACGTAGACGGTCAATAAATAAAAATAAGGAAATTAAAATATTTCTTAGTTTTTTTTTCGGGTCTGGTAGTGAATGGTTTGCGATATTCAGGCACACTTATCAAAGACACACAAAAACACTGGCTGACAGCTTTAGGAAACTTCACTTTGTCTTTAAAAAAAACTGGACTCAGTATGATAAATAAGATGAAAAAGATTCTCGGCGGCTATTGTTAAATAAACATCCCTTACTGCGTTTCTTTCTTTAGATGGTCCAAAAATGCATATTTGGATGGATTGATAGCCAATTCATGCAAATCGGATAATTCTGAAAGCCTTGCAATGTCAGCGTTTATATTATTAATTGCATTTTCTATGTCACACGCAAGGAAGGAATATTGGGTATCATCAGCTTATGCTTATTGGTGAAACGCCACATGTTTAAGCGAGTAATGATGAAATGATGAATCTGCACATGTATATGGAGAATAGTAATGGGCCTAATACGGATCCTTGAGACACACCTGCTGCAAGTACTTTAGGCTGTTTAAGAGGGTGCAAGCGTCGATGTAGGATGTTTATAAGCATAACTTTTTCTGGTAGCGGCAACAAGCTGTTTTTATTATTTAGAAATGATATAAAAGGAATTATTTTCTCGACTATAACTTTTGTTTCTCATATACAAGGTGTTATTTCCAGTGTTTAGATTTAAATAATGTCTACATGACGTTGTTTACACAACAATATAATGTGCATTTTTCAGGTCCATTTGTGTTAACCCATTTGCTATTGAAATCGTTAACTGCATCTCCCGACAGTCGAATTGTAAATGTTGCCTCTGAAGCTCATCGTGCAATCAACATAGACCAGTTGATGAGCATCACAAGATCTCAAACGTTGAGTAGGTCACACATTTCAGCATATGCAGCATCAAAACTGGCTTTAGTACTGTTTACAAAGCATTTAGCAAACAAGCTTGCAAGTATGTTGTGGGTAACATTTATTTTTTGCAGCTCATCATTTATGTAATAAATGTTTTTGAGTTCCAGAAATTTAAATGTTGTATTATTAAAACTATTTTTAATCATACAGTGATCCTTGGACTAGGAAAACAGTCACGCAATCTACTACAAAATTCTTGTCCTAAATATTGGTTGTCTTATGTGAATATTATTAAATTATAATATGTGTAATACACTTGCCAATGCAATAAATTAAAACAATATGCAACAATTCAAAGCAAGTGTTTTTTAACGTGTGCTAGAAAACCCAGTTTTATTCATTGCATATAAGAGAAGCCCATTAACACTGTATACTTAAAAATATATTGAGATAATTTTTCTGACAACAAAAAGGCATGCTGTAAGGTATTATGTTTTAGATACGAAGACATTGGTAAATGCGGTAAATCCAGGAAATTGTGAAACTGATATATTCCGACACTTCCCATTTTTAAGTAATAAGTGGTTGTTTGCACTACAGTGGATTATCCGTATAATTGTCATCAAACACCCATTGGAGGGAGCCCAGTCTGTTCTGCATGCCATTTTAACCGAGGATTCTTCCAGTGGACAGTACATTACAGATTGCAAATCAGATGTTCCGTCTATACCCTGTTTAAATGAAAACGTAGTTGTACAGTACTACGACCTAACTTGCAAAATTTTGAAGGAAAGCGGTAGGGATTTTTGTTTCTAACGATCATGGCACTAAATGTTTGGGTTTCACCTGATGGTGTAATTAAAAAAGAAATTATTACTCATGGCAGCTCAGGACTAAAACCTACGGAAAATTGTAAGTGTTACATTAAAGTGTCTGAGACCTGTATTGGTGAATTAAAAAAGTTCACTGAAACTGGTTTGTATATCTTAGGCGATAGCGACACAACAATTGAACGAAATTTAGATAACTGTTTGATGTATATGTCGAATGGTGAGGTAGCTAGGGTAACATTTGCATTAGAGACGATCTGTATATTTACTTTAGAATTAGTGAATTTTGAGGGAGAAGATTTAATTTGTAATTGGGATGCTGGAAAGCGAATGAGATTAGCGTCGAATCATAAAAATCGTGGCGTAGAACTGTTCAAGGATTCTCGATATGTTGATGCTTCTTGCCGTTTCAGTAAGGGTTTAAAGATTTTATGTTCCTTACCTATAGGAGTCAATGAACCTGTAACAGACATAGACGATGTTCCATTGATAGATATCCAGAACTTAAAGGTGAACCTCTATAATAATCTCGCATCCTGCTATTTAAAATGCTGTGATTATCAGACTGTATTAGAATTGTGCCAAAAAGTTTTTGAAATTGATAATCGAAATGTGAAAGCTCTCTACAAGCAAGGAGTAGCCTTGTACGAGTTGCAAGATTACGAAAAAGCACAGACAAGTTTGATGTCTCTTTTAGAGATTAATTCGGATAATAAAGCAGCTCTAGAGAAATTAAAGCATGTAAATATCAAGGTTAATGAAAGTAATTTAAAAGTTAATGCCATGATTAAAAAAATGTTTAGTAAATAGCTGTCCTAAATTTATTTTTTGTAGTTCTCGTAGATCAGAATAGGGTAGTGCCTTAAGGTAAGATTTGAAATGTTTGTACTTATTTTAATAAAGATTTACAAGTGGTTTTATTTATTTTATTTGGCTGTATTACGCACTAAGAGACGAGAAAGGGTGAGAGATGGATAGACCAAAACAGTAACTAAACTAATGGCCTGTCGGCACAAACGTACCAGCGGGTCCTGGCGTTTTTAGATATCTTCAGAGGTGTCTGTTTGTTTCTAACTGCTTTCCAGAACTTGATTGTTTTTGCAATGCGTCACTTTACCGAACAATTTAGGCTCTTTCTAGAACATAACTACAGTCAGTGCATTTTGGGGACCTTTCAAAGAGTTTCTAGACTGCAACATTTTCTATGACCAGAGGTTTTTAGAAGATTCTAGTAAATGTAAAAAATTGTATATTTTTTATCTCTCGATCTTTTCTTTTAGAATCAATTCCATCGGTTGATGATCCTATTGCATCCATTGTTCCTATACCTTAATTAAATTAATCTATTTCCTTAAATATAATAAATAGGGTGTAATTGTAAGAAAATACTAAGGAAGATTCTACAAAGACTGAAAACCTTTTACTAGGTTTCCGAGAACTATTAAGTACAACCACAGACAACATTGTCTGTGGTACAACTATTGAATAATTATTCAATGGTACAACGGTACTCTATGGAGAAGAATTATAGAGATTTGATATCTAATGGTTCTACGTACATAAATATAGAATTTCTAAAAAGATTCTGCTTTGATCATAAGGAGATTTTAATATGAACATTCGGGGATATGCTATTATAAGGGTCATGACAATTGACAACATACATTAACACTTCAAAGGAAAAACATGAGAAAAGCAAGAGAAATACAGTACGATTGCAAAAGTAAATTTACCGCAAAGGTCAAAATTTCAGTGTACTTGCACAACGTAACTGGCCAGGATAATACCCATTGTTCATTTGAATGTCAATATCAAGCGGCGGGATCAGCGCTATCAGGTTGAATACGGAGATACCTGCATGACCTTGCAGTTCCATTGGCCCCTATGAATAAAAGTAAGCAAATGCTTATACTTGCAAAATTCAAAGTAAATACTCGTAACTGCCCCTTCATACTGGTCTGTTTAGCATGATTTAGCAGCGCTGCACTGCGTCCTGTCCGTCTGCTTAGAAGCGCTGCTAAGTCGCTCAGTGCGAAGGAGCACTTCCGAGTATTTACTACTAATTTTTTAATTTACCAGGAAACAAAACCTGCTAATAATGGCTATTGATCATGGCTGAAATTCTAAAATATTAATTTTCTCTTCTTCTAAATGACAAGTGTTTTCGGACGCAACAAATAACCCACTGAAATATCTGGATGAGAACGGTTGCAAACGGCGCGGCGGGCTGATTAATTGCAGCGTTAATTACGGTAGCGGCAGCTGAAACAACTATAGAAAGTAAATCAATCACTTACCTTTAGCTTCCACCTTCCACTATTAGACAGAAACAAATACTTTCAGCACAACACTATTGGTCTATATATACAGGCGGGGGATCTTTACAAGGCGCGTAAACTTTAAGACTGGTAATGGCTGCTTCGTTACATTTTGTAGGAATTTTAGCGCTTTACAATTTATATATTTTTTTTGTATCTATTGTGGTTTGGCCAACACTTTCTTTTGAGATAAATGCGCGCGATTGTAATTTAGTAAGAAAACTCTTTAAGAAGTGGTGTGGAAATGTTATAGATTGAGCCAATTTCTTCCCAACTCTCTTACAATAAGGCATCGGACAAACTGGATTCACTTTATAGTTGTACTTGTATACGGACAGGAGATTTATAACCCCCCATGTTATTTTATATCGTGGCCTGAACTGACTATTTCACCTGCTGGCCCGTTTTAATGGAAATGTTACATAAACACGCACAACGTTCTATGGCGGTGTATTCCTCGAGCGCCAGTTGTTTTTGTAGAGATATCAGAGGCTTATGTATGACCTTAGTTCACTTCTGCTCAATGCTAGCAACAAGTTGGTTTTAGATTCCTGGGAAGTGGGAACTGACCATGTGCATGTGCAATTAAAATGCTATTGCATGTAAACTCCAACACAAAGTTTCAGTTCAGTTCAGTTTTAGAGAAAAAACCCAATGAAAAAACATGTCTTTATTTGAACCAAACCCTAGTACATATTACAAAATTTTAAGAACAAGTATGATAAACAAATTAAACGCGCATTTCTAAACAATGTATCTATATAAAACAAACCTTTTGGGATGATTATGGCAAGAAAGTCGCAAGTTTTGAAAAATAATTCCTTTTTTCAAAACACAGTAATAGATCAACTAAATTACGCTCATCAATATGTCAAACAACCCATAGAATTTCTACATTATCGCCAAACAAACATTTCAAGACACCATAATTTACTTGTACTCTAATACGTTAGAATTACTAATAAAGAAATTTACGTTAACTATTATTTACAATAAATGATTTGAGCGCTGTTAAATTTTAACTATTAATAAAAAATTGTCAGTGACTTTTCCATTTAAGAAATATAAACAAGGATTAAACAGCATCGCTTGTTATATAAAGCTTGTCACAACATTTACGTATCTTAGGTCTTAAAGCAAGCATTGCTAGATTCAGTTAAACACTTTGGCTATGTTACATGTCTTATTGCATTAAGAAAAGCTTCATCTAGAAAAAGTCAGTGGCAATGTTCTTAAAAAGAATTCTATATGTAAGATGAAGTAACTAAATGAGAGGTGATTTCACAAAATCAATGTGCTATTGTAACTAACAGTTAAAAATTGCCTTTTAATAATCGATAACTAACAGCCGGTACACAATAAACGTCACAAAGACCAACACTAACAAATAAATATACTAACAATAAATTATGTGGAAGAATAATTAAAAGTATGTTAGGCACTTGGGTGATTTTTCTCGAATGATACATTATTTTGCAATGTCAGTATCACAACAGAAAGTAAAAACTTAAAAAAATATAAATACGTATACATAAAAAATATATAAAAATAAAAAGTGGCACAGAATCGATTAACATTGTGAACAATGCAACCAATTACTGTAATCATCTAGGTGAAGTAACTAAATTGTAAAAACCGTCAACTCCATCACTTGGCAACATTATATACATATTTTATTTATAATAATAAAACGGTTCTTGCAAACTGTACATAACAGTGTTTCATCATTAACAATTTCCCATCATCGTTTATGATACCTGTAACATAGGTTTCCTAAAAGTAAATGTATACTAATTCTAAAAACCAATACCAACATTGCTAAACATATCACAAGATTTCAGAGAGCTACCAAATACGAATTAGACTTCTAGTAGCGGATAATTTTCAATATTTACACAAATAGCAACTCATTATATACAATTTAAAAAGTTATTTAAAGACGTTCGTCTGGTAGCATTGCAATTGTATTGTGGGAGAGGTAAAGGAACTGTACATGCAGTCTGGATAAATTCATATATCACGACTGTTTCGTTTTACCGTTCGTGATAGTCGTATTATTTACCGCCATTTCAGCTGCTTGCACAGCCATCTGCTGCATACTTTTCTCGATGAAGTTTTGATATACGGGTTTCATGAACTGAAATAGATAATTTCATTAACATGTTAAGAAATGGATCACAACCAATTATGGGTAATACAACATGCGCCGGGTTCTTGGTCATTAGTTACATCTGTAGTTGTTCCAGGAATTATTAATTATAGAGATGATTACAAAGATAAAACTACTCCCCACAACTTTTTGTAGCGTTTTTTCGCTTTACTCATCCCAAAGTGGTAGGAACATTGCAACATAAAATAATGGTTAAACAGTTACAGATGTGTACAATGTGTCCTTCACTATAGCAAAATAATTCTACTCATCTACATAAAACATTACTTATGACAGGATTAATATTTCACACTCACAAGTAATGAGTCAAACCTTATGCAAATATAAAAATGGAAGAAAAACTGCTTTCTTCAATAATAAACAATATAACTGAAGGTTTGGTATCAAATAGCTTCAGTATATTCAGTTCATTAATCAGAAATCAGTGTTCAGCAAAGGAACATTTAAGTAAATGATAAAAAATTTGGGTACATACGTTTTCTCATTTTTCGCTTTTTAAAATATGCATGCTATAAGTAAAAACACAACAGATTTTAGTTATTCGGTATGAGATAAGTATAACAAAAGCATGCATGATTGGCAATCCATAAAAATTAAAGTGAAGCGAAAAGTGATAAATGAACAGGTAAAAAAGTGTCTTGTGCAATACATTAATTACAAATAAATTCAAGTCTGTTGAGCATATTTAAAAACTTAATGTGTGAGTTTATGCATAAATTTGTATTTTGAAAGCTATACTTACATTTTCCCAAATAAATGTTGCCAGCTCATCTATCTGTACACCAATTTCTCTCATTTCTCCACTGTACCTGCAAAAAGAAAGTCATGCTGGATTATATATTATGAAAAATTGGATAAATAATTTTAAGACGCCATTTTGTAGAGTTTATAAAGTGCCAATAAAAAAAATTGGAAAAATCAACAATGCGAAAAATTGCATTTTTTAGGAAAATTTTGAAAACGATAAGCAATCATGAATTTCTGCAATCAGCATGTAAACATACTCTAAATAGTGCAACTTTTTCCTAATTTAAACCACCCTGTATCTTTTACCGTGTTCAAGATTCCGATGCCTAAAATTCTCAGAACTATTTGAACAAATAATAGAGTTATAATGAACCTTCCAAAACATGGATACCATTTTAATAAAATCAAACTTCTGTTCGTCCATCTTAAATATTCAAGTTTATTTTACAATAAAAAATTGCAGTTCTAGCTGGTCTCAATTTAAGGATGGAAGAAATTCTCGTAGATATAGCAGTATCTTTTATGAAAAAAAAAATGTCAATGAGAACCATGCAAAGAATACTTTAAAAAATTCTCGATGCTGCACTTGAACATAAATGACTTCTCTTATATTTTTTAAGAACTGGCCATCAAGGTTAATATTAGAAAGAGTGATTAATAAATGACGTGGAAACCACAGTATGAAATTTCAGTCACAATGCAGAATATTAAGTTTTACTATCATAACGTAATTAAATACCTCATTCGGAAAAAAAATAATTATTATTGAATGATGAAACTACATACCTTATGTATGCCCACAACGCTAAGGTTAAAAGTGAAACTCCCATTACGAGGTTGAAGAGATTTGCAAAAGTATATGCGCCAAGTAATCCAAATACTCCCGAAGCAATGTAGCATATAATGGCAAGAGCGAAAAAAACGGCGGGCGTTCTTGCAGCTTTGAAAATGTTCTTACTTTCATTGTGAGATTTAAATTGATTGAACGTCTCGTCCAAATCCTACAAAAATACTTGTTACATAAATGATTTGGCTTTGTTTATCGTAAACCTTCTCCAATTGTTCTTTATATTTTTCACTAAATTCCTCGCCGCCCATTTTTCTCTTGCTGCTGAATTGGTGCAAAGCCTTATCTTTGACTCTATGATGCTCCATTTCCATTGTGGCGGTGTTTAAATACGGTTTACTTCCTCCACAGACCTCTTCCATTAATTGAACGTATATTTCCTTCGCATCTGCGACAGCAGCTAAGTTGTTCGCTTCAGCAGTTGCCTACAAATTCAATTTCAGCGAAGCACCAACATCGCCACTTCACATACCACCAGCATAGATTTGGGTTCCGGTAACTCGTTACCGCTATATATGTGAATGTAAGACTTAAAATACTGAACTAGATCTCGACATTTTACATTTTGGCCATTAATCCTTTTCAATACTAAATTTTCTGGAGATAAAAGCATCGGAACTAAGATCTGCAAATTTTTCTTAAATTCATTGTCAATATCTACAAAATAGTGAGATTTACAAAAGACAACGGATTGAATGAGGAAATACCTGCGACACGACCGTCAAAAGCCGGATTCGTGGCAACCTTTAGACCTGGATGCGGCATTAGAAAACAGGCAATTTCCGTAAAACAACTCTTGATATGCTTTCGAAGAGACTGCAGTTCTGGGTGTTGAAATTCGCTGACTTGCAACCGACGGTCCAGAATTTTCTTTCCACCCACTGCTCCGTACGGTGCTTCATATGGAAAACTCCAGTCTCTCACGAGAAATTGTAACCTTTGAAATGGCGACTTTCCTGTGTCAGCAAGCGCTAGCCTACCGTATTCTGTAAACAGCTAAGAAAAGTGTTTGAGAGAGAATTGGCTTTGATGGAACTATACTTGCAAATGTTGCAGGTCGTCCTCTTGAATATTTTGGGATAGGTTGTAAATTTGAACTGAACTAATCATTGTACTAAGTGCGAAGACTGTCGCACAATCTCTCACGGTGCTTTCACTATCGAATGCCCCTTGTGTATCCAACAGTATTACGGCTACCTAAGCCTGTGAGTGATTATTTTGTACTTAAATATCACCAACGTTCTACCTTTTCGCCAGAATCCAAGTCGGTTAAAAATACCTCCGACCACATTAGTATACCGGTTGTATCTCTTTCGGAACCACCTCTCCACGAAAATCCTTCTAATGGTGCATCTATCGGTCCCATCCAATCTAGTGAGTGTTGTTTAAAGATGTACTAAAAAATTGAATTGTTAAGATTTTGAAATGATCTTAATTTTTGCTTTTTATCATATTGACTTAACAGTGCCCCTTATAAAAGCACTTTGCTACAAGAAACAGTCACTAAAGCTGAATAAGTTCCACCCGTACAAAATACAAATGCATCAATGGGTCTGTTTAAAAATGAAAAATCTCTTGAAAGAATTTCAAAAGCGCTGGTAGGTGGCTCGAGTTCGAGGTAAACCTTTCTTTTTCTACCAATGTAGGTGTAAATCCACATTTACGCAAAACACACACTATTTATTTAATTAATATTTACATCATTATTTTATATTTACATAATAAGAAACAACTTTGAATTACAAATTGAGCACCTTTAGTTGCTAAGTATGAGATTTTGTAGTCGACTAACTTCCAATAGAAACAAAGAGGAACTGTCTAAATGGAAAACCTGTTATTTTAAGATATAAAAAATGGACCTACATATGTGTCTGGAGCTCGATTTTAAACAGAATCTCTAATAGTTTGGCCGCTAGGGGGCCTTTCTTGAATTAGTCGATTTCTTTAATGCAGCATAACCTTCTTGTTAAAAATAATTGATTCTGGTCAAGTCTTTCTTAGAGTACTTTTTCATGTAGAATCCATTGCAATACACACTTTTTATACAGGGTGTTTGGTTTTTTTCTACGACCCTAGACTACATTTTTTCATACAAACCACCCTATATCTTTTGGCGATTGGCAATAGCACTGTCCAAATTAATTAATTGATTTTTTAATAGATTAGATAACATTTGAATTCAAAAAAATCAGATTCGTGAATCCTTACCCATTTGAACAATGCCCCCTCTACAGGTTTGCACTGAAGACAAGGGAGGTTAGAGGGAAGTTTCTCGCGGGGTCATATGCTTTTTGGGCCCAACGCCTTGTGGCAATATGACAATGACATTCGTAACAGACATTTTCGAAGTAGAATAATTTTATTATACCTACCATTATACCGGGTGGCCCAATAAGAATGACCTTTGCCCATATCACAGAAACTGGTAGACATAGACTTTTCGGGTAAAAAATTATATAATAAAAGTGACTGGAAATTATTTTCGAGTGTGTAAAATGACCATTAGAGGGCGCAATAGTCATGATCAGGTATAAAATTTTGATTTTCTCCACATTTTATCTAATAGTGATATCAAAGATGAGTTATAATCCTAATATCATAACCATCCTTTTTTGTTTTACTTTTTTTTTGCTATCTTGTGAAATAAAATGATGGGGGAAAGTCAAATGTTTTTTTAAATAAATATTGATTTCTCAAGTTTCGCTTAACCCATTGGATAAAACCACAGTTTCAAATCTTTCGGCCCTCAAAGAACTGTTCTCAATCTTTTCTCCCTTTTCGCTGGTTGAAGGTGTGATTGCAAAAACGACGTCATTCATTCCTCCCCACAGATAAAAATCTAAGATGGTGATGTCTACTGACCTACTGGCCATGGAAATAAGCTTCCTCATCCAATCTCACCTATTAGGATACATGCTATCTATATTAATATAATTAAGGGGTGGCGACAAAGCGGAATAATCAGGAAAACCTGGAATTGTCACGAGATTTTATGAGATGGTCAAAGAAATTAACGAGAAACGCACCATTCTCGTTTATTTGCGCGTAAGCGTCCAAAAATGGACCTAATTTCGGTTCTGTTTATGTTCATTTTGCTTGTGTATGTGTTTACTGCTTGAGACGTGTCGTGCACACGCAATCAAACCCTGCTTTGAAGGAATTGGAAACCAAAAATAAACAAATTCAAAGGAAGCCTGACACAAAAACTACAACGTGCGTTACTATGTACTATGTTACCATGTTTGAATTCTTTGTCAAATTCCACGTATAATTCATAGCGCATATCCTGTACCTATCCTTCATTGTTTTGGAGCAAAAGTAAAAAAACCATAAATCCATTTTAGGTAAGTACATAAGTACCGCATCCTGTATATTTTCTCCTAAAAAAATCAATCTTACATATTTTGTATGGTCGTACAGAAAATTGAATGCTGTTTTCAAATATCGTAAAACAATATTGGTAGGTACTGCATTTGAAAAAAAAAGTTGCATCGATTTCCGGTTACACCGGACATGAAACCCGAGTGAAACCCGGAAGTTCCAATATGCTATCGGATAGATCGTATAATGTCATATATAAAATTATATTTGACAAATTTCTCGTATCTCGCCAAATAAAAGAGATATTGCGGTGACACTCTGATCTCAAACGCATTTTATAATGGGTTGGGTTGGGTGGGCAGCCTTCGCTGAAACCCCGCCCACTTAAAAATAAAGACCAAAAATAAAATAAAATAAAAGTAGTTGTCAGGTAAACTCCTGACTTGACTTTCCGACTACTTTTAATAGTTATTGCAATTATCTTTGGTCATAGTATAACATTTAGAAAATGCCCTCTAGCGCCTTTATTTTGAACCTGACGCAAAAAGTGTAGAAGCCTTTTTTGTAGATCTCATCAAGACACATCTTTTTTGTAATTAACATTTTTCACTCTGATGCCTACTTTTAGAAAAAAATTTAGAAAAATAAAATAAATAGTTTCAGTGAGTATTAACATTGCTAAACAAAAATTTCTATGAAACCTTAACAAAATATTCAAATGATATATTGCAACTTTTCTATTGTAATTTGATAAGGTAATGGCTATTGTACTTATAACAATTGTGCTATACAAATACACTGGTTGATAAGATTTTATAAGCGACTTATCAATTACATGTGTTTTAGCTGTTATAAAAATCACTACCAGATTTTGAAGTGAATAAAAAGTTATCTTAAATACATAGGAGATTAGATATGAGGGTAGGTCAAGTAAGGGGCATGAAAAATGTTATAATTGGTTTACAATTCTGACAGAAATCATATATTCCAAATTTTTGTAAAACGAAAGAAAATAGTATATTGAAATACAAGTGTTACAATGCGACCTATTGTAATACGACTATCTTGTGGCACGAGTGGCGACGCGAAGCGTAGCCACGAGTGTCCGGAAGATAGAAGTATTACAATAAAGCATTGTAACACGCGTTTTTCATACTATTTTTTCTATTTCGGTGCTTTAATTTAATTAAAACAATCATTATCAGAAACTATCTGGAACATTAGAACTAACATGTTTTATGTTGGGAACTTTTTATGCCGTTAAGTTTTAGGTTGGCAGCGTAGTAAGACTGACATTTTGAAGTTCAAACATGGAAGTACCCAACGAAGTACCTACTTGTACTAACTAGTAACTGCCAACTTAAGAGATGAGTTACCAAAAAAAACGACTATAATCACTGTCTTTTCGGCCGAAAACAGTTGTACAAAATCATCATTGTGACACCGAAATAGAAAAAATGTTTTATTTTATAATCAGAATAGAATAGACTAATAAAAAACTTGTGTACAAATTAAGTACCTACTATTTATTGTTAGATAAACAATACATTCTCACTATAGCATTCATACAGCATAAGTGCCACACTAAAAAAAGGTATTTCAGAAACTTGTAGACAGACAGATGAACATATTTTTTTGTCACACATTAGTTAGTACCTCGGTCAGTACATACATTTACCGAAAGGAATTTTTTTCCTACTAAAAACCACAAGCACTCTCCTGTAAAAAATAGTTTGTAGAGCAATGCATTTGTAGGCTCACAGGATAGTTTTTTCAAAATGCAGTTAATGCTTTACATTAGACTAACTATTTTGACTGAAATATCAAAAGTGATCTGTTTTATTACACCTAAGTACTAAATTTGATCCATTATTATTATCAAATCGACCCAAAGAACAGCAAAATCAAATACTGTGTGGGCAATTTTCAAAATGAGTATCTATTTTCTTATCGGATTCTGCAAATTGGGAGGGGGGACGTTTATTTTGTGGACCCGCAGTAAAATGGAACACTTCCAATCACTGTTATCAGTATCAAACGCAATGCTATCTTCGACCACAAGTAGGTTGTAGATTAGAACACTTATTCTAGTTTAAATTATGCAAGCCTAAACGATAGAGAATGAAGGATTAACATGACAGTTCAGAACGTGTTGAAATTAAAGCGCACAAGTGATAATAAAAATTACAAAATTTGGATTTATCAGTCAACGTGATAAAAAAGCATAAACTTCAGCAATAAACAAATACTAACCTTTGATTTCATGTACCTTAAGAAAAAATCTAAAAGGAAGGATTTTCCCTTACGAAAGGCACCGGCTACGGACACGACGACTACATAGCGATCTTTAATTTCATCCTGCATTAATACTCTGGATAAAGCGTCTTCATCTAATGAAAAACTATGGTCTTTGTTCGCTAGTACTATTTGTATCGGATGAGGTGTCATATCTGTTTGAGATTTTGGTGTTTCTAAAAAAAATTCACATCAAAACATAACCTTGCATTAAGCTTTGGTAAATAATATTAAAAAAGAAAACCTGTTATTTGCAAGTAATCATTACAGATGAAGAGGAATGTGGTGACCTGAACATTTATTTTTTACAAGTCGTTCTCCAATTAGTTATTAAGTGAGGAAGTCAAGGGTACATTACAAATCAAAACGTTCTTGATAGGTAACAAAGAATGTCAATATCATTGCACATTTACATATTGACATTAAACTTGTAATAATTTATACACAAAAAATGCAAAAAACCTGAAATTGTTGGTTGATAATGAAATCAAATGGCCTCCAATGTCAATGACGATTAGCAAATCTTTTCTTGGTATGTAGCGGACTTAAATACATGCACAATTGGCCGACGAACCTAAAATTGGTTTATTATTATTCACTCACCTTCGAATGAGTTTTTTTGTTCTTGATTTGCCGTATGTTTACGTTGCGTTGTGTCAGACATGTTGTACCTACTAATGTCAAATTTGCGATTTTACAGCTACACTACAAACCTCAATTTATTTTAAACGTCAGCGCGCGCATCGCATGCTCTTTAATTTAAATGAAACTACATTATGTACTTATTTCGTGATAATTGATCATAATTCCATTACTTACCTACTTTCCTACCCAACATTGCTAATTATCCTTGCCGTCTTTAACCGTCTTTAACTGTATCATGCTTAGATAATGATTGGAGGTACAAGTGGCACCGTTACAGTTAAACACTTAAAATTTATCAATAGAATAGATCAGGCATCGATTTACTAATGATTTTTGTCAATAAAATATAAAGAAATTTAAATGACATTTGAAATGACATAATGGCGCCTTAATGTTCTGTAACATAAGTGGCGCCATCACGACGATGAAACCTTCATTAAATAATTTTGCCGCGCTTAAACAGTATAGTTCCACTTTCTAATGTCAGGTGACAGCACGTTCAAGTGCAAAATACATTTGCTAAACATTGGCGCATATGAATAAAAGGGAGCATATGCTTATGGCCGTTTGCACCGACAAATTTAAGTGGAACTTAGCTTAAGTGTAGCTTAAAATCCATGGCAACAATTATTGAGACAATGGTTGCCATGGATTTTAAGCTACGCTTAAGCTAAGCTCCACTTAAATTTGTCGGTGCAAACGGTCATTAAACTTGCAAAATTCAAAGTGGTAAGTGCCCCTTTCCAATGAGCTGCTCAGCAGCTCTGCACTGCGTCCCGTCCCGTGACGGAGCGGCGCTGCTAATCCGCCCAATGTGAGAGGGCACTTACGAGTACTTACTTTGAATTTTGCAAGTATAAGCATATGCTCCCGTTTATTCATATGCGTGGCCCTTATGACTAAAAGGGAGCATATGCTTATACTTGCAAAATTCAAAGTAAATACTCGTAAGTGCCCCTTTATACTGGTTTGTTTAGCAGCGCTGCACTGCGTCCTGTCCTTCTGCCTATCAGCGCTGCTAAGTCGCCCAGTGCGAAGGAGCACTTACGAGTATTTACCTTGAATTTTGCAAGTATAAGCATTTGCTTACTTTTATTCATACGGGCCTTCATTTTTTATTTCTGATCCCCAAAGTACATTAAAAATAAAAAGACCCGTGTGTCCTCAATTTTTATTTGCGAGTAAAATAAACCCAAAATAAATGATTGAAAAGCTGTGTTTTTAGTCCGAATTTGAAACGCTTCAGACTAAATACGTCACAAACCTACAACCAATCACGTAGAAGTGAGCTGGCAACCTTACGCGAGGGTCTGACGTTTGTCACATTTGACGTTTTGAGAGGGATGTTTAACTGCATCTAGCACGAAAGTGACAAGTGCCTGTGACAGATGACGCAAGTTATAAATGCCATTCTCCTGCAATATTGCCAAGTCGTTATGTCATCTGAATGGTTCTAGGAGCTGATTGGTCGGGCTTATTACGTCACAGAGCCCGCCACAATCATATCGTTTTGAATAAACCTTTAAAACCGCACATGTTCATTATTTTTTTGCTAATCAGCCTCTATTTTTAAATAAACTTTTACTGTCCAAAAAAATGTTTTATGGTTTCAGGTACACGCTTATTAAATTAGAACTGCGGAATTCAACTATACTGTAAACCCCCATTGTCTCAATAATCGTTGCCATGGATTTTAAGCTACAGTGATAAAATTTAGAACAGTGGCGGCAGCCAAGGTTATTAAAGAAAGTAGGTTGCCTCGTAACTTTCAGCCAATAAATGTTCAGAATAAAAATACGCGAATGACGTCACTCAGAATCCCATTTTGTCCAGATCATAAAAATTAATTATTAACGCAACAACAGGACAAGTTCAAAAAATGCAAAATGGATCCCTGCATTGCATAGAAAGAAACATGCTAGCGAAATATTAAACGCACTTTATTCAAAATAGCTTACATTTCATCTTCATAGTCTTCGGCCGGAAAATGCAGACTGCACAGCCTATTGCATACGGGGTTTAGGTTCCCCTTTCGATTGCACTTTTATTTATTTATTTTTTTTAAAGGTCCTTAGGGGATCGAGCCCATGATAGCCCTACCTGTATAACAATAAGGAGATAACACTGGTCACATAGACTTCACGCAAAGGGGCCTGTCAATGCGACTTACACAGGCAACACAATTCACTAGACCACGGTACCGTAATTAGGTACTATAAACAAAGGACAAGACAAGAGGAGCAAAACAATTAGGATTTGGAATTAAATATTGGTCTGAGTTTGTCTCAAGAACTGTATTATAACATCGAAGACATTTTTGTCATTGACAGCCAAAAGACAGCCGATGTCGGTGGGACCCATTCCCACTAGTTTTGCAACCAGTATGTCTGTCTGCATTTGGTTAAGCTGACATCCAAAAAATATATGATTATAACCCATTCTTTTTGCAATACAGCACTTACCTTTTGGAAAAGTGAGAAACTGAAACTGTGATTCATTTGCTTTCGATTTGTTGGCGCTGCATATAGTAACGCTACAACTATCTATCTAATAGCTTATATTGATACTTATGTATCTAAAAGTAAGTATTCAATAGAATTATAATAAGTACACGTAATAGTCTTCAGCACTATCTGACAATTGTAATTACACAGTTCAAAACTGTCAAAGTCAACGAAAACTTAAACAACCAATCAAATGGAGCTTCCGGATTCTCGATGACGTATCTCTCTAAAGTTACGAGGCAACCTACTCTCTCTAAGCTCTCTATTAACCTTGGGCGATTTTTGATTGGTCGTTGGCTCCGGTCTCCATATTGGAGCTAAATTCTAAAGTGACTAATAGAAAACCTCCCAAACGACGCGGTACACTCCGTGCTATAATTATTAATTATACTGTTTTGACAGTTCACGATTCGCGGCTTATTCGCGAGTTTTAAATTATAGTAGCTGTGACTGGAACAGGGCCACGCCATTTTACGAGTTGTTTTGCCTAAATTGATCGTAGATGTGTTTTGTTCTTGATTTGATTTATCGTGTTTTTCACTTGTATTTATGATGTGTACATTTTGTTGTTGTAGTTAATTTATTTCTTGTATTTATGTGGGTTACGACAGATTTCAATTCCCTTCCCAATTAGGTCTCACATCCCAAGCCCAACATATAAAACAACCGACATTAGTACCTACACACAACGCAGGACCTATTCGTAGGTACTGCCAACTGTGAGTATAGGGTCCGTTAAGATTGTAGTGTCGGCTTGGGGACCCCTAAGATCATTACAATTTATTGTTTTGTGTTTGCTACTTTGCTTTTGTTGTTCCAGTTACTTAATTAATTAATCGTTGAAACCTATGAAATAATTAAAAAATTTACATCCCAGAAACTAATGAATGTGTATGACACATTATATAGACTGAGTCAGTGACCAATTTTAGATTTAAGTCATTTCAAAAGTCATGAAACTTCACATAGTAAATCCTCTATACCTTCTGAATATTAAAGGTTACTTCTGGCAACCATCTGCTCCTGGAGTAAACTACTCCAGCCAGAAAAAATTCTATCACTAACGATCTGCGAGAGCAAATGAGACAGCAATATGGGCAATCTGCAGGTTAAATCTCAGGAGTCGTGTACGAATATTTTTGGATTGACGGAATTGGCTTATCAGGATATTTAGAGCAAATAAATCCCGCACGTGTCTTAAATTGTGATTAGGTGTTGAAATACATCTGTGACATTGCCATTTTTGATTTTTTTGTATACATTTTATTAATAGGGAATACAACAATCTTAATTTAATAAATAATTCAGATATTTTGAATTTTCTCAATATTGGCCCAAAATCCATGGGGAAGTTTTACTGCCATCGCATCAATTCAAGCACGTTATAGATGGGTTTCTACTTTTACTTGAACCATTGAATAAAGAATTCAATGCTTGAAATCACTATTCCTTCCCCATGTTTTGTTTATTATAATAGGTTAGATCATAGGTTCGTCTAAATACGAATCATTGTTAAACACAATAGACCATGTGTAATAATCAAAGATTAATTATGCAAACAAGTTTTTCGAAAAGCTGTAGTTAATAATTGCGTGGAATGAAGATGCACAAAAGCCTGTTCCTTTTATTGCGTTTTTCTATAATGACATATCTGGAAATTACCGGGTTCTAAGGTAATTAGTGGACAAAATTAGCAATGCGTGCTCACATTTTTAATGGCCCCTTTATTTCCTGTTGTTTGTTCTAATCAATTTTACTGGTCAAATGGTTTATTGATTTTTATAATTATTAGGTAGACATTTGCATGAATGAACTAATTCACCTGCGTATAGTAGATCCTGATAAAACATATACCGAGTTTTAATACATTCTTATCTTTTCAAAAAATAGCGTATTCTTTATATTTCTGCACGGCTCGTGAAGATTTTATGCGCACACAATTATACATGTCTATATTGCCATTGCAACGTATCTTCCTATACTATTATGGGTAGAAACACATTCGGCACGAAAACGCATGAGATAACACATGAGCACCAATGAATCGAATTTACTCTGCTTGGTCTGTTTGTAAGTATCGGTTTTGATATCTTTTGTGAGGTAACATCATTTCGCTTTTTTTGTCCATAATTCAGTCAAGAATAACTATTCTTTGATTCAGTTGTAGAAATAAAAATTTGTTGATCCTATATTGTTTTGACAAGCAAATATTCCTCCAAGTTGATATCAGTTTATAGTGCAAAAAGAAGTAGTACAAAACTAACTAACTCTGTCGCTACATAATAATGGAAATAAAAATAAATTCGCTTGGTTGATGTGAAGTTTGCGGAACCCCATCAAAAAGGGTACTCAAACGGTAAAAGTCAATAGTCTGAAATTGGTAAAAGTGCGAGAATTTTTCATATCGGCCAATAATTACCGGGAAAACCGAAACATTTCGCCCTTTTTTGACACCAATATTCATTTTCGTGGTGCCTCGACATAAACAAGAATGACTTTTAAACAAAACACAGGTCAGTGTCGCTTATTAGTTATCATATCCCGTTTAGGAAAAGGGGATTTGGAACATTTTTGCGATTGCTAATTAAGATAAGTTAAAACGGATACGCGCAATCGAATTTTCTTGGAAAGGTGTGCTGAGAATTTGAAAATCGTTTTCTACTATTCCTACGGATAAAAAACGATATCAAATTTGGAACACTACGTAGATCGTATTTTTTTTAAATAAATAAACGTTTAATGAAAATAATAGAACAAGATCAAATTACATATAAGAACGGGGTTTTAAAACATAATAAATTTCATCAAAAGAATTACAAAAAAAAGGTTCCTAAAATACATTCG